CTTTTTGCCCCCAGACTTGGGGAAGTACCCCAAGTGCCTGTACTGGGTTGAGTACCCGTGGGACTTTAGGCCTGTGTTACCCCAAGGACACAGGGCCGGGAGACAGTCCATTCTTGGGGTGGTGGCGGCACGTTACCCCCAGACTAGTGAGTGTGCTCTGGGAAAGGGGTCGGCCGGACATAAGGCACCCCTAGGGAGGCATTCGGAGCCTGGAAGGTGGTTGGGCGCAGGGAGGTGGGCGGCTCGATGCAGGAGCACCCCCTACTGGCCCGCCTCACGTGGTGGAAACAGCAGAGGGATACGAATACCCAGCTGTGTTCCTGAGGTGGGATCTCTGCACCCGCCACATGCATTCACATATTACATGTTCACATAAACTTGCCTTGCTTGCAAAGTAATGCCATGAAGTAATACACTGTAACAATCTCGAAATAGTTAAAACAGCAAATAGTCAACATTATCAAGTTATATATATTAAAATATTTACCGTTTAGGTGGGTTTTTCCTTGTATTGACAGAATAAGAAAGCAGAAGAAATTGGAAACAGGAATGAAAGAGAGAAAAAAGAAAAAAAAGTCAGAAAATGTAAGCAAAAGATAAGCAGTTCTTAAAAAATGTGAAAAGGTACACAGAAACCCACCTATGATATTCATATCTTGTCATAAAAATTATCTATTTCTAGAATGACCATGATTATTTTCCATATACTTGGTAAAAATTACTAAAAATGGCATATTTAGTGTGGGTAAAAGAACATTTCAGTGACAGTCTAGAGAATCAAGTCTTTCCTTTATTCACAGAATAGAGCATTAATTGAAGTAATGCAAATTTTCCAATGCTATCTGTTAGCATAACTCTGTTCTGCTCTGGAACCTCTTGTGCTTCAGTCATAAGGATGAAAGCATAAATTAAAATCTAGGTTCCCAACAAAATCTATTGACAATCGTATCCATTATAGTGGCAGATCCTGAGATGTGGACAACTGTTCCTTAGAAAGTAGACTCAGGCTACAAATTCATTTTACATATGTCACCCAACAGCCACCACTTATGAAGTCAAGATCAATCAGGACTGGAATGGAACTGGATATCCTAACAACTGTAGGTGGAGATCTTTAAAAAGGGCTATTATAAGAAGCCTGACTTGCACTGAAAGATAACAGAATATAGTGACTACATGTGACTTGGAAAATCTTGTCTAGAATATTTCACATACAGTCAGTCTCCCAAGGAAATTTGCATTTTGAAGGTAGGCTTAGGTACTAGGACAAACACAGCAATATTTCCTAGTTTGGAAAAGGAAAGCAGAGAGTAGGTACTATACATCTTATCCCTAACCTCTGCACTCATGCTCTCAAAGCACCTGCTTTTGGGAGTCTGTCTGTGTTCATTTATTTTTGTTTTACATGTTATCTAGAAGGGTGGGCAATGTATAGCCCATGGGCTGGATCCAGTCATTGGTGATTAGCAGCAGTGTGGAGGTAGGGGGTGCAGAACCTGGTTGCACATGGTGACTAGAGGGCCAGAATAGAGGCCTCTGGAATCTGCACCACTCTACTGCACCTGCCATTTTTCTCATCACCATTGTCTGGTGGCACAAATGATTGGAGCAGCGGCTAGAAAGGAGGGAAGGGGATCATGAGATTGCTCACTGGGTGCTGGCCCAGGGTAACATTCAGTGGCATACAACTGCAAGGGAAGCAGGGCCGTAAGTGGCACCCTGCCGTAGGGCCAAACCCTGTTATTTCAGCCCACTCTTTGTACATGGTAGCCAGCCAACTCTTGACCGAGAAGAGGTATCCTGCTAAACTCACTCTTAGATAGGAATTACATGGGTGTGGGGGAAATCTCTATGTAAACAAATTTATTTTTTCTCACCAAATATAACTCCTAATTTGTTTCATAGAAAGAAAGCTGCAAGCTAGTGTGTAAGAGCAGTTGTTACTAACCTGCCAACAAGTTACAGGCTATTAAACAAAGCCCAATCAAGTAATAGTTAAGTTACAGTAGCAAAAAGGTATGGGAAAGACATAATA